GGTCCCCCCTCCTCCATCGTGGCCACCCAGCCACTGCAGCTCCCTGTGCATGGCCGTGGGAAAGGCCATGATCCCAGCAGGTCCTGCTGAGCAGGGGAACGTGCCAAAGCAACAGGAGCTGAGCCATTAAATACATAATTTTTACTGAAAACTTTTTAAAGTTGTGTATTTATTTGTGTTTCTGGGCTTTCCAAGCCCAGGAGGGGAGGTTTGGTGGCCCCAGGGATTGCAGCCTGGCTGGAGGATGGTTTTCCTGTGCTGATGTGGCTGGTCCTTACAAGCAGAAATTTAGCTTGGTGCATCTCTTGGAGCTGTGAATAAAGAGCTGGTGCATGCAAATTTCAACCAAAACTCTGTGCTACTATTTTATCTCTCTGTCTGTGGTTATTTAGGGGAAGCAAAGCTCCCAGGGTGGGGAGTGTGAAGCAGAGAAGAGCCAAATAGAAACCTCTTGGGTTGTATTTGAATGAAGAGGGCTTTCTGGATGTTTCTTTCCCCGAACTAGCAGGGGGATGAGAAGAGGAACAACCTACTTTGAACCCTCACCAGGCTCAGCATGAGACCAGCCATGTGCCCAGTGTGCATCTTTCCTGTGACATGACAGAAGAAAGTCTGCTCTTGCACTCAGTCACTGGGGAGTCACGGGGTGGTGATTCAACAGGGACATGGCCAGCCTGTCTGGAAAGGTGAGGATGTGAAGTCTGGGCTCCTCCAAAGCTTCCCATCCCAGCTTTCATAGGCATAGTCATGACCAGGGGGGATTTTCTCTCCTTAGCAATCAGCTCATTGCAGCTGTGGGAGTTTTATGCTCTCTTGGGAAACAGCTGGATAGGTGGGGGAGGACGGTGAGAGATGAGGCCTGGCTGAGTTTCGTGTGGCAGCTCCTCCTCTCCCTGTGCTGCTGAGGTCACAGGGATGTCCTGAATTTCTGGCTGCATTGCTGCTGTGGGTGCTGGTTATTGCTTGGTGTGGGGACACCAGAAGGGCTCAGGTTATGGCAATCTATTACCTGATCTGGAAAAACCTGACCTCTTACTCAAGCTCATTTGCCCTAAATTTGCATAGTAAAATCAGGCCAAAAAGAGTTCCTGACCTCAATATCCTAATTCAGCCTTTCTCCTCCATGCTCAGACAGGCACTTCTGCAGCTCTGTAAGGCAGAGCTCAGGATGTCCCCACTTCCTGCCTCTTCCCCTTGCTTAAAACAGCTGGGGAAGCACTGGAAAGGCTTGGAGCAGGGCAATGAAACCCATCCAGGGCAGACAGGGCACCTCTCACCCCAAGCAGCAGGGATGTCTTTTGGCACTAAGGGCTTATTTGCCTTTGATATGTATAAAACACGCATATAAATGTGTGTTTATATGTACTGTGTGCATATTTGTGTCTGTGTCATGTCTCTGTCTATCTGGCTGTCTCTGTATGGGTGTATCCTCAGGATGAGAGGACATGGTCTCAACCTGTGACAGGGGAGGTTCAGGTTGGACATTAGGAGGAATTTCTTCTCAGGAAGCGTAATTAGACATTGGGATGGGCTGCCCAGGGAGGTGGTGGAGTCACCTTTGTGTTTAAGGACAGCCGTGGCACTCAGTGCCATGTTCTGCTTGACAAGGGGGTGGTGGGTCAGAGGTTGGACTTGATGGTCTTTTCCAACCCGATTCATTCTGTGATCTGTCGGTATACATCCTCTTCCCGTGCAACGCGGTCAAGCCCCGTGCGCGCCGCAGGGACACCCCCGAAACACAGGAGAGCCCCGCAGTGTCCCCTCCTTTTCCCACGTGTCCCGCCCGGGTCTCGAACACGCGGCCCCCGGAGCCGCCGCGCCGCGCGCTGCCCTCCCGGCCGGCGGGGGGCGCCGCCGAGTCCTCCGGGCCGCCAGGGGCGGTGCTGCCCCGCCCGGCCCATGGCGGCCCGCTCCGCCCGCCCGGCCCGCGGCAGTTGCCATAGCGCCGCGCCGCCGAGCGCAGGGACGGCACCGGGATCGGGATTGGGATCGGAACTGAACTGTCTGCCCCAGGGCCCGGCCTGCCCCGGCCGGCCCCGGCCCGCCGCCCGCCCGGGACGCGGCTCTGCGGGAGGCAGGTGAGGCGGTTGGGGCGCTGCCGGTGTTTGGGGGGGGGGGTGGGGTATGTGGGGCGGTGGGGCTGTCAGGTTTGGGTGTGTGTTGTGTTTGTGTTTGTGTTTGTGTGAGGCTTTGAGAGGACTGCCATGATCTGGGGGTTTGGGTTTGGGAGGCTGCCAAGGTTTGGGGGTGTGGGGGGTAGTAGGGCAGTGAGGGGGCTGCCAGCGTGTGTGTAGTGTGGGGGTTTGGGGGGAGCTGCCAGGGTTTGGGGGGGAATATGTATGTGAGGGTTTGGGGGGGCTGCCAGGGTTTGGAGAGGAATATGTATGTGAGGGTTTGGGGGCTGCCAGGGTTTGGAGAGGAATATGTGTGTGGAGTTTGGAGGGGCGGACAGGGTTTGGGGGGGGATATGTTGTATGAGGGGAGTGCCAGGGTTTGGGGGGGGAATATGTGTGTGGTTGGGGGAGCTGCCAGGTTTGGGGCTGTGGGCAGTGGAGGATTGTCAGGGTTGGGGGTGTGGGGTGTGGGGGGCTGTCAGGGTAGGGAGGGTGCACAGGGCAAAGGGTAGGGCCATGAGGCAGTGGAGTTGCCCCTGGGGGTTATCCAGGGGCTGTGGGGTGAGGGAATGGCTCTGGATTGGGCTGTTGGCAAGTGTGGGGGGACATGGGGCAAGGGGGGGCTGCCAGGACTTGGGGGGCCATGAGGCAGAGGGAATGAGAATGCTCAAGCCTGGACAGGTGAGGGGGGGCAGGGAGAGGCTGCAGCGTGGGTTTAGTTTTGGGGAAAGGTTGTAGCACCTGGGTTTAGTTTTGGGGAGATGGGGTCAAGGGGCTCCCTCACAGGAAACGCTTCCAGCGTTTCCCTAATGAAGGTGAGTGGGACTCTGGTGTAGCCTCTTTCTTCTTGTTTAAAAAGTGGCATTGAGCAACTCATCCCTTTTCTGAGTTGTGCTCCCAAGGGCACACCAAGAGGTGTTTAGTAGGTTGTTCTGCTCAAATCGTTATGAGAGCTGAGGAATTCTGGTTAAGCACCAGCCTTCTGTAGAGCTCTTTGGGTAAATTGTTGTCTCTTTGCATCTTAGCATGTCTAAGGTGTAATTTGGTGTCAAGGACCCAAGTTATTTTCTTCTCTGCTCACTTTTTGCTCAAAGCTGGGGGTGGTACAGCAAAGTGAAAGCCGAGCAAGCCCTTCCTTTGCCACAGAGAGCAAAAGGAGTTCAGAAAATAAAAGTACTCGAGCGTCCTTCGGAGCAGTTTGTTCCTGTAAGCAGGTCAAGGTGTTTCCTGTGGGGAAAGTATTGACTCATCCTCCCATCGGTTTCTTACCAGTGTTTCAGTGAGTGCAGGTTAATAAAGGTCAGCTCTGCAGTGAGAACACACACACGGTCCTGTCTGAGCCTCCTCACATCAGGGACTTGACAAAAAGGCTGAGGATGGACAGTGTGATAAATAACCAGCTGCACTCCAGAGTGTCTCATGTTTTCAGGCACTGCAAGGACAGCCAGGTGTACTTAGGTACTGTAGAGCCAAGTATAACACCGAGGGCAGATAGCAGTGGGTTAGTTTTATGGCTCTTTGATTAAGCTGTCCCCAGGGTAATGTTAGTTGGGTGAGGCAGGAGGAGTTTATTTCTGTTTCGTTTGAGCTCACTTCCTGTTCTCTGACACGCAGCGAGCCCTCCGTGGGGAGCACGGGACGTGGTCTTGGGTCTGGAGAACTGTTTCACAGCAGGGGAGGGACTTGTGGTAGTTTTCTGTTCTTTCTAACCTGGTTATGGAATTGGTAGAGCACTTAATGGATCTACAAAAAGCTTTGCTAGCTCTCCATGCCATCAGTATGTGGAATGACAGGTGCATTACAAGTTGGCATTTCATTGTGTTCACACTGTAGTGGGTTGCATTTCAAAACTCCAAAGCTCACATTTTAAGATAAATGATCATTTAGGCATATATATGATTACATAAACAAAGAGTTTTAACTCTTTGTCTTTTCACTGTGAGCTTGTTTTTCCAGAGCTGAGGAGTGGAGCAGAAAGCTGTGAGCTTTAAATGTCTCTTACAAATTCCAGATCCTTGGATTTCCCTATCTCCACTCATCCAATACTGAATCTCCTTAACACATGTGTCCACAGTGATGGGGAGGGGGGTCTTGTAGTCATTCTTTGTAATCATAATTGCTTTTGGTGGCACAGCTGGGTTTAATGAAACCACACAATCACCTTGGGCTGTTGTGTTTCCCATTCTGGGCAGTTCTCTCTGGTGCTGGGAATCCTGGAGCAGAGTTACCCGTCTCCACCTGTATCTGCAGATCCACTCAGCTGTAGAAACTGAACTTTTAATGAAAAGCTGATTGCCTTGACAGTGGTGTTCATGGCTTAATGCTTAATTGCTCAAGGTTCTGCTGAATTGGGTTAGTTTTAAAGCCATCATTTAAGTATTGTGTTTAATTGTAGAGTAGGAAATGTAGGCTGGCTTTCAGTCTTCCTCATTGGCAGGTACATGTGATTGGGCTCCTAAAATGAGACCTGAATGCAATACTCTGCAAGGAATAATATAGATGATTTTTTAGGGGGGGTTGGTGCTCACTAGTTGTATTTATGACTGAAATCTGCCTTCTTTTCTTCAGGTCTTCAGTTTTCTCTTTATTGTGGTTGACTTCAGTGTGGGTTTGTGTTGTTTTGTTTGCTTGTTTGTTTGTTGAATCGTGTAATTTTCACTTGCTGTTGTGCAACTTCGTGCCATGGTTTGTTGTTAATGACAGCTGAGATTGTAAACTCTTCAGTCAGGCTGGGACATGATTTGAGCTGACCTCCTAGTTCTGTCTATAAAGGGTCATTAAACCTGTGCTTTGGGCTTTGAGCCAGTGGACTTTGAGCCTGGTGGAAGAGTGGAAGCAGATTTCCAGGGTCTGCTCTGGTGTTCCTGTATCTGTACCTGGCTCTGGCTTGCTGAGGGGGCAGTGGAGCTGGGCAGGCTGTGTCTGACCCAGGACTGCAGCTTTGTGTCCTCAAGTCTAGCCAGGTAAAATGCTCTCCTCACCTGGGGTGTGTTGGTTTCATGTGATACATGCAGGAAAAAATTGTACTTAATTACTGTTAGGCTGCTTTCCTGTCCCTGAGAGAAAGAATGTGTTTTCACAGGTATGTAAGTTATAGGATCTCTGAATGGACTGGGCTGGAAGGGACCTTAAAGATCACCCACCTCCAACTCTTCTCTAAACCCCCTGACCAGTCCTGAGGGATACAGAGCTTGATCCAAAGATAAGAAAATCAGGAAGCACCTTGAACCAAGTACTTGGTGCTTAACAAACATGTTGCAGGCAGGAGGATAATGAGATGCAGATAAGTGTGTGTTCACCTCCCTTTTTTGGACACAGCTGTGTGTGACCGGCTGCTGAGCAGGGAAAAGAGGACCTGTGGGTGCCTGGCAGTCAAACTGAGGGAACTCAGTACTGCTCTCTGCTCTGAGCTCTGACTACAAGCACAGCCTGGCTTTAAATTACCTTGATGTTGCTGTCAGGCTGGGCTGGGCTGGTTGCTTGAGTCTGGATTGAACTCTGGGGGCAGTGGTGCAGCAGTGAGGTCTGTGCTGCTGTTGGTTGCCTGTGCTTTGTGCTCTGCACTTCCACGGCCTCACCCTGGCCTGGCTCCTGCTCCCCTAATTCCAGTCATTAGCCTTGATAGCACCTGCCTGTGGCTCCCCATATCAAGCCTGTTTTCCTTCCCTTTAACTGTCATTACCAGAAGCCAGAAATTAGCAGTGTGAACTTCCATCAGCTGGCTCTGATGGAAATGGAAATGCTTCACAGGGGAATAAGTGTCATCTCTGTTTCACAGGTGGGAGAATCCCAACACTGCTGAGCTGATGTCAGGACCAGGACTCCTCTGCATGCCAAGGCTTCTAACCCCCTGATGGTATGTGCCTCCAAAGCCAATTATTCAGTCTTCAGCAAGGTTGACAAGTTATCACTTTCCTTAAGAAACCAAGAGTGTGACTGTCAGATCAAGAGTTCACATTTTGTGTTGGTTTTCCCCTTCTTTCTCAGCCAGTTTCCCCAGAACTGAGGGGGCTCATTCTAACCTCTGAAAGGCCTTTTGGCTTGTTAAATTTATGTTCCCATAAGGGAATTTCTTTAAAAAGAATTGTTGTTTTCTGAGGTGCTGTTTATTCTTCTCAGTGTCTGTAAAATTTACAAATTCTTCCCATTAATTGCTCTTGAGGTTTTCACTTTACTCCAAAATATTAATCAGGCTTTTTTCTCTTAATGCCCTCTAGCTCCTCTGCCAAACAGTCTTGGAATAGGAATTCCCACATTTTATTTCAGTGGAGACTAAAATATTAATTTAACATCAGCTTTTTTTAATGCTGCCACATTTTTATTTAAATTCAGAGGGTTGTGGGATGTGCTTATAAGAATACACTTCAGCAGCACATGCTTTGAATCTTTTCGTTTAGGCTGATGTTAAGTGAGATTTTAAACAGGCAAATTTAAAATACTCTCCTTTGGGAGTAGCTTGTGTCATAGTAACCTCTGTTGCAAAAGGATAGTTCCTTTGGGCATCACATTGTGTATTTACACATGGATGATTTCAAATTGCAGTGTCACAAGTGGCACCACTGAGTCCCCACACCACTCGGTGTGTGCACGAGCTTTTATTGCTTTGGCTTTTCCCCAAGTGAGCCAGAAACCCGTGGAAGTCCAGACTGAAAGTGGATGTGACACCACTTTTTGCTGATGTCAGAATGCCTTGCTCAGAGAGAAAGGACTGTTGGCATCTGTGTGTGGCTCCCTCGTGTCCTTCACCCCGAGCCTGGGGCTGGTGGAGTCACTCAGGTGAGGAGTTTCCCCAGCGCTGTGTTTGAGGACACTCTCCACCAGGTTGCATCATGTATTGATAAGTTTCTTTCCATGGATGTGTTGGTGTTCCCTAGGCCATGGTTATTTGGGAAACTGCCCAGCAGTGCCATTCCTGGAGGGTGATGAGCAGCAAGTTAATGTCCTGCTCTAGTTTGGTGTTAAAATAATCGTGGCTGGAACCACAAGTGGTACTGCTGCTCTGAGGCACTGAGGAATTCCTGCTCCATGGGATTGCCTTTGAATTTGTTTTATACATATCTTCAAAAGTAGCTTTGGTTCATCTGGTGGAATGGATTTCTTTGTAAACACTTGGATCTGTTAATCTGGAGGAGGAACAGGTTTTAAAAATGGCGAATTAATGGTTAAAAGAAGGGAAATGTTTCTCTGTTTAGATTAACAAAATAACTTTTCTTATTGAATCCTATATATGCCCAGGACTGTGGGCTAGCAGCAGAGAGGGATAAAATGTCAAGCTTGATAGATTGTTGGAGCTGGTTTTTGGTAGTTAAACAATAATGAAGCTGTTGTGTGCTTGCAGGGAAACACTGTGCTCTGTGTGCAGACTTCGGCCTGGAGAAAGTTCCAATTGTTCCAGAGAAGGGCGAGTTCTAAAATGCAGCTTCTGTGGCTGGTGGCACAGCTGCCCAAATCCCTGCCTGTCTTGAGGCCCTTGCACAAGCATTGCAGAGTAGTTTGGAAACAGTTTATTTTTCGGATTCCAAATAAAGTGTGGGTTTCAAGGTCCCCTTTGACTGTATAATCAAAAAAGTAGAAATCGAAGCCGGTGTTTATGCAGGGAGTGATTCATGCTCTGGGAGCTCAGGGCACAGGTTTCTGCCAGTCAGAGGCTGATACCTTGCATAATTCATCCCTTCTGTTCCTGGGATGGAAAGGCTTATCAGTTGTTGCAGGGGATCCTTGGCAGCTTAGTCAGACCTCGCTGTCGCTGTGCAAAGGGCTCTGGGGTAGGAGGAATAAGATCCTGTATCTTATGCAGAAGAGAAACAAGAGGGAACTGAAGCAGGTATTTAATAAAAATAAAGCCCAGCACCTCAGCCTCCTTTTTGACAAACTATTTCTCTCTGTTCCTGCTGGTTTTTTATACGTCATGTTACCTGCTTCTCTGACTTGAAGACAATCACAGACAGGTTTTTGCCATGGAAGTACTGAAGTCAAGAATGTCACTGTGAGTGAAGGAAGGAATTCCTGAAAAGAATTGAAATATGTTATTCAGCTCTCTGCTGGGCTTCAGGGGTGACTTGCAGTGCCTACAAGGTGTGCACAGAGAGTGCAGTTGGAATATCAAAGCACCAGTAAATGACTACTTGTGTATGGTAAAATAACACCCTTAAATACAAAATGCAGCATTTTTTTATGCGCCTGTGCCTGCCTTCAGGGACATCTTCGGTCTGCAAATGGCTGTGTCTGATGGTCCTGAATGGTGCTGATCCCATCTCTGAAGTCTGTGGGTGAAAACCTCTTTCAAGGTTCCCAGAGTGTGTATTTTGGAGGTGACACACTGCACCTCTCACACAGCTTCACCGTTTTGGTCTGTTCCCCTCTCGCTGCGTTAAAGGCTGTTTTTGTATCACCACGTTTTCAGACAATGTGTGCAACTGCATATAATGAAGCCTTTTCATCCAAGGGAATGTAGGCCAAACCCCAGCCTGGTTCATGAAAGGCTTCACTTTGTCTGAGGGAAGTAAGATGATTGTTCTTGGAAAGAGGCCTTGTCTCTCTGTCAGTGCTGCTCTGCCCAAAGCCAAAGTTACTTGGTAAGACATTGTTCTGTTGGCCTGAGCTTGCTGTTTTACTTCTGGATGTGGCTCTTAATAACACCAGCCAAAGCTTTCATTGCTCTGGCAGGAATAACAGATGCAGGCTTGAAATTAAATCTGTGTTATGTGGTAGAATTTCCTAAAAATTCCCCTAATAAAAGCAAACGTGAAGAAAAGGGTATCAACTATTACTGTCTATTGTATACTTGCCTGATCAGCTTTAGTCCTTGATTATGGAGGAAACAGTTTATAAATATTTATTGAGCTTTCTGAACTTGTGAGTAAAAGGGAATTTTTAAAATCCACAACAGATCTGAAATCTAAAATCCTAGATGTTTCCCTAACTAGCAGTTTGATAACACGCTGCCTTCCTCAGACCTTATCTTGTCTCAAGTCCCAAGAATGTTTGTCTTTTTTGTTTATTCGTTTTGTGGGTTTTGTTTTTTTTACAAGGCCACGTTTTTCAGTAACACTTTTTTTTTTTAAGTAGAAGCAAGCTTTTTAAGCAGTATTTTGTTCTGCATGTTAAGCATATTTTTTGCTGTGAACTGGGAAAGTTCAAAGTTCAAGCAAATCCAACAACAAAAAGCAAACCACCAAAAACCAAACTGGACTTGCATGTCTCTTGCACTTGTGTGAAATGTGAATTTGGCCTCAAAATCATCTTGTCTCATCCTTCTGTTATACATTACGTGTTTTCTTCTAATGTAAACTTGTTAGTATGCTCTGCAGAAGTGCAAGGAGATCGTTCACTCTCAGCATTTCTTCCCAGAAGTTCCTCACTTCTGTGAGCTGTGGTAGTTCTCTGACAGTACTTAATTCCATTACAAACACAGTCCTGCTTTAAAGAAATGAAATATTAACTTGATTCCATTCCCTGGTGGGGCTTTATCTGCATTTTACTTACAGAAAACTGAAGCACAGAGAACTGAAGTGGCCCAGATGCTCACAGATAGAAACTGAAACCAAAAGTCCTCACCCTCCATTGTCTCATATTATTTATCCCATTACTAATCTGAAAATAATTACCCAATGAGATTTCTTAAAATTCAGGTCTTTTTTTATTTAAAAATAGGAATATCTGGTATCTGATTTTGTTTGTGTAATCAAAAATGGGGCGGTTTCTGCTGAACTATTGAACTGAGACAAGTAGAGCTCAAAATAGAAGAAAGTTCATGTTGATGTTATCAGGTCAGTGGTGGAAAAGATTGTGTCATGGGGAACTTTTTGTCGTGCTGAAATGCCAGATAAGCTGTTGTTTGTTTGGGCTCTGAGGACAGAGGCGAAGATGTTTTGAGGTTTTATTTAAAAAATCGGAGTTCTTGGTTGTTCAACGGCTGTGTGAAAGCACAAGGCAGCTCAGTATCTGTTCCCAACCTCCTTGATAGGTGGTCTGGCTTTATTCTTCCTGCCCCAACAGCAGGGTTTAGTCTAATGTGAAAACCTTGTCTGCCATTTTACAAAGCAAACAAACCCAGAATGGAAAGAAAGGCTCCTCCCAGTTAGGGAGAAGCGAAATGAAAACGTGATGATGATGTCTGTGCCCTGCAAAGGTCGAGGAGAAAACTCAACCAACTGCAGTGGATTTATTGGTTTGTAAGACCCAGTGGTTTGTGGAGCACTGACTCATGGTGTCTGAATGCCTGGCCTTGCCAAAAGCCCTGCACTGAAATGTGCCCCCGAGCTGCCTGTGGGCCTGGGCCATATATGGGAAATTTCCTCTCCAGGGCAAAGGTAGGGAATCCAGGAGGTGCAGGTCCATGACCTGTCTGAAGCTTTCATTACCTCCTGTCCTCCCAGTATTTGGTGAAAATATATTTTCTACAGGTTGGATCCAGCAGTGATTCCATGTTCAGGGCTTTCTGTTTGACCCCATGGATTTAGCAGGATTAGGTGAGCGGTGCCATCAAAGGATGCCTGTCCAGCCTCTGCTGGCACTGCACACAGGTGCTGAAAAGGCTTGACAAGGAGTTTGAATGTTCTACCATAATATATGTATAGAGACATGGCAGTAAAGGAGAACTACCTTTTTGGGAGGGATAATGGCTTTAATTCCAAGAGACAAATGTACATTTACTTGAGTGGTTGGTGCTGATAATGTAGGTGAGCTCCTGGGCGAGCTCTTGCAGAATCTCCTGGGGATCTGACCCCTCTACTCAGTAACCAAAAACACAGGACCAGATGGATGTTGGGCCTGTTCATGCTTAGGTTTGAATAAAGCCTGGATTTTAGGCTGCTTTATTTTGGGTTTCCTAGTCCTTAATATTCTGCAGAGGTT